GGTCCTATGCGTGTTACCTCTCTTGGAGGCAAAAACTATGTTTTTGTTATCATTGATGATTTTTCTCATTTTACATGGGTCATCTTTCTTGCAAGTAAAAATGAATGTTTTGATGAGTTTTCGAATCATGTTAAAAGAATTAAAAATGAAAAAGATTTAAAAGTTGTTAAAATAAGAAGTGATCATGGTGGTAAATTTTAAAATATCTCTTTCTATGATTTTTGTGCGCATCGTGGTATAACTCATGTGTTTTTCGCTCTAAGAACACCACAACAAAATGATGTTGTTAAACGGAAAAATCGAACCATACAGGAGATGGTATGAACTATGTTAAACTCTTTTGATTTGCCTAAATATTTTTAAGCGGAAGCCGTCAATACGGCTTGCCATGTTTTAAATTGTGTGTTGATTAGACCAAAGCTTAAGAAAACTCCTTATGAACTATTTTATGGCAAAACTCCTTTTATTGGATATTTTCGTATCTTTGGTTGTAAATGTTTTATTTTAAATACAAAAGATCACCATGATAAATTTGATTCTAAAATTAATGTTGGCATTTTCCTAGGATATGCACCTCAAAGTAAGGCTTATAAGGTCTTCAACAAATGAACTCTTGTTGTTGAAGAATCTATAAACGTTACTTTTGATGAGACTAATATGGGTTTACAAGTTGGTTTGCCTAGGATAGATGATGACGATGTTGAGGGAGGATTGAAATTTTTGTAAATAAATGAAACACCCTCAATAGATGTTCAAAAGGATGGGGAAAACACAAACAACATTCAAGAGCAAGAACAAGAAGAACTCCCCATAGCATGGAAATTTGTACCAAATCATCCAAAGGAGTAAATCATTGGAAATCCTTCGTTCTAACTCGCTCAAAGGCTTTGAGTGAGTGTGATAATGTTGCCTTTCTATCTCAATTAGAACCTAAGAAGATTAATGATGTTTTAAATGATAAATTTTGGGTTTTAGCTATGCATGATGAACTAAACAAGTTTCGAAGAAATGATGTTTGGAAACTAGTTCCTAGACCTAACAATACTAGTGTAATTGGAACAAAATGGGTTTTTAGAAACAAACTTGATGAACATGACATTGTTACTAGAAATAAAGCTCGTTTGGTTACCCAAAGATACAATCAAGAGGAGGGCATAGACTATGATGAAACCTTTGCACCGGTTACAAGGTTAGAATCAATTAGGATGTTTTTGGGTTTTGCAAGCTTTAAAGATTTCAAATTGTTTCAAATGGATGTCAAAAGTGCCTTTTTAAATGACTTTATAGAAGAGGAAGTATATGTTGAGCAACCCCCCGGTTTTATGGATCATGCTTTTCCTAATCATGTTTACCGGGTTCAAAAAGCTTTATATGGGTTGAAACAAGCTCCTAGAGCTTGGTATACTCGCCTCTTTAGTTTTCTTCTTGAAAATAGTTTTTCTAAAGACAAAATTGATAATACTCTTTTTGTGAGAAAAAGGAAAAATAATTTCATTTTAGTTCAAATATATATTAATGATATCATTTTCGGTGCTACTAATAAATCTCTATGTAAGGATTTTTCTAAAGTTATGCAAGATCATTTTGAGATGAGCATGATGGGAGAGCTCACATTCTTTCTCGGGCTCCATGTCAAGCAAACTAAGGATGAGATATTCATTTCTCAAAGCAAGTATGCTAGAGAATTGGTGAAGAAATTCAATTTGGAGAACTCTAAGCATGCACCAACTCCCATGAGTACAAGTGTCAAGCTTGATGCGGATGATAGTGGTGAGGATGTGGACCAAAAACTATACCGAGGTATGATATGTAGTCTTCTTTATCTCACCGCTAGTAGACCCGATATCATGTTTAGTGTGTGTGCATGTGCACGTTTTCAAGCTTCTCCTAAAGCATCTCATTTGATTGCCGTTAAGAGAATTATTAAATATGTTCATGGAACAATTGGTCTTGGTTTATTTTATCCTAAAAGCACCTCTTTTGATCTATATGGTTTTTGTGATGCCGACTTTGCCGGTTGTAAGGTAGATCGCAAGAGTACGAGTGGTACATGTCAATTCTTGGGTAATTCCTTTGTCTCTTGGGCTTCCAAGAAATAAAATTGTGTTGCCTTGTCCACTACAGAAACGGAATACATTACCGTTGGCTTATGTTATGCCCAAGTTTTGTGGATGAAACAAAGTTTGGTTGACTATGATTTGAATTTTCAAAATATAAAAATCTTTTGTAATAACACTAGTGCTATCAATATTTCAAAAAAATTGGTTTTGCATTCTAGAACCAAGCATATTGATGTGTGTCATCATTTCTTACGCGATCATGTAGAGAGGTAAGATGTATCCCTTGTGTTTGTTGACACAAAATCTTAATTAGCGGATATCTTTACCAAGCCTCTTAGTGAAGATGATTTTTGTCGCATAAGAAATGGTTTGGGGTTATGCACTATGTGAAAGTTCTATTTGCTTGGCTAGTTACATTTCATATGCATTTTTGTTTACCATTTTTTTTACCCCATTTTGATGGTGACAAAGGGGGAGAGAAATATCCTCATTTGTGCACATAGTAAGGGGGAGCTCATAGATAGGGGGAGCTACTATCTATAAGCTATATTTATTTTACTCTTATATAATGGTTGGTTGTTATCATTAAAAATGGGGAGATTGTTAGCCCTTATGTTTTGATGATGTTTTACAACCACCATTATCGATACTAATTGCTTGTTGAGTGATATTGTAGTTAATATATATATCAAGCTTGTTTGTACCATGCATGGAGGATTGAATGGAATATGAGCTACAACAATGATATCCAAAGAAGGAGGAGGCATAGTGATGAAGCAATGTTAATTCAAGAACAACAAATGCAATGAGAAGCTTCATCAACTCAAGCTATATCAAGACTTAAAGAATTGTAATTCTATGTGAGGATATTAGCTAGTTTTTCTTTTTCTCTCTAGTGCTAGAATGTAGGCAAGTAGCTTAGATTTTATTTGAAGCTATTGGGATATCACACACACGTTTTCATACTTAGATTTTTGAGCGTTTTGACAAAATATTGTTTTTCACAAATACGAGGACCTTTTTGCAAAATCTCTTTTCAAACAAGTTTGTCAAAATGTTTATAAACTATTCTCAAAGTTTCACATTTTTCTGAATTTATTTGATAATTTTTAACACAGTTCAAAGTGACATTTTTTGTGTGCATGTTTATGAGTCGACTCATGAACAGTATTGAGTCGACTCATAAACTGCCCCGTAGTTGTTATTTGTTTCTGACGAGTCGACTCACAAACATCATGAGTCGACCCATCAGAATGAGTCGACTCATGACTGTCATAGGTCGACTCATAAACTGTGCTGGAATATGTGTTTTGTTTCTGCTGAGTTGACCCATGACCTCATGAGTCGACTCATGAATTTTATGAGTCGACCCATAAGTTGATTTTTAGCCTATAACGGCTAATTATGAGTCGACTCATGAATAGTACTGAGTTGACTCATAACACTGTAACGACTATTTTTGTATAGTTTCAGAATTCCTATTTTTGGGGGATTTTGTCTGATTCTTTGTGGCTTTGGCTGCTGTTTTCTTTCCTTATAAATACCCAACACCCCAACCACCTCAGAATTAAGCTTTTATTGCAAAACTCTTGTTTTCAAGTTTATTGTTTTCAAAGAGCTTCAACTTTCATCTTGATAATCACTGTTTCGTATTCACATCCCAAGCTTCAAGTGCAATCTCTCTCATTGCCATAGGGACATTGTAAAGAGAGAGTATTTTACACAATTACTACTGTTGAGAGCTTGATCTTGTGAAGATCAACTGTGTGAGTGTGAGATCTTGTGGAGATCGACTTTGAAGTTGTGAGATCTTGTGGAGATCGTTGTGTAGAAGAAGTTCCGGCTTCCAAACCGGGTTGTGTAGTGGATTCTCCTCGAGAGTGGGGAGCGGGGACGTAGGTCAGCGGGCCGAACCTCGTTAACACATCGCGCGTCACTTGGATAACGATTTCTAACTCTATCTCATTTTCTCTACTTGTTCATTTTGTGGTTTGTTGCTTGTCTCATTTTTTATTACACTATTATAGCCTTAAGACCCTAATCACCCCCCTCTAGGGTCCAACAACTAATAGTGAATAAACTAACTATGAAATTTAAATGTAGTTTCTATATTAAAATTATGCTATGTATAATATTATTATATTTAAAAGAGAATGTATTATTTAATATATTATAATTATTTTAATAAATTATGAAAATATTATTATAATTATCCAAACTATAATAATTAATCGTTCTTTATACATAAATTTATCATACAATTTATTCATTTAAAAAAAGTAATTGTTCAGAATTTATATTGCTATGCAAATCATTTCAGTATTTTGTAGCCAACAAAAAAAGGGAAAAACATAAAAACAAAAAAGGTATGCTCTCGTGCAAAGAAAAATTAATGCTAAATATTATGTACCCTCTTTTTGATAGTGCTGAAGACACTGCAAGTGATCCTAAAGAGCAACTTTAACATCTAAAAGCGTATCGCTTGTGGCTTATGTTGACCATTATAATCTTTGAAAATAATATCATGATCGATTCTAATCCTCTTTAGGGAAGAATCATGTTACGGAAAAACTGCGCAAGTCTAATTCCAATTTCTTAGACGAAGAAGACACCTAAATTCGATTTTATTTTTATCCACGTTTCGGATCAAAAATAAAATCAAGGAGAAATTTTTAAAACCAACCTTTTTTAGAATTTAATAGGCAAAATCGACCTAAAGTGAAAAATATTAGCAAAACCGACCCTTTTCTGAAGAAAAGGATCGGTTTTGCAGCCGAATGTGTTTTACGGGTTTTAACATTATGAAAACTTTTGCATCTTACGAACTGAAAGGCAGAGAGGCGCTGAAGACCAAGTACACGGGACTAGTAGTCCCGTGCAGTTGGTCTTGACCAGCGGCTGGGCTCTCTGCTTAAAAGTCGGGACTGCTAGTCCTGACTTTTAAGCAGAGAGGACTCGACACCAGGTGCACAGCAAGTGCACGGGACTAGCAGTCCCGTGCACTTGCTGTGCACACTTTTGTGCACTTTCTGGCTGCATTTCAAGCCGTTCCTGTACATACATCAACACAAACATCAACTAACAAGTCACATACTCATTTCACCACTACATTTCATGTAGTCCCGTTACATACATCCACACAAACTCCCACTAACAAATTACATACTGATTTCACCACATACTCATTTCAAATCAAACAAATCACATCACACCACAAACTCCCACTAACAAATCCAACATAATAACACCACAAACCCACTTAGAAATCAAACATATCACACGATATTATCGACTACAAATCCAAAAACCACATCCCTAAATAGTTTTGTAATGTATATAACCTGTAGTTTACATACATCCAAGAACTCTCCTCCTCCTCCTTTGGCTTCGTCGTCCTCCATACCGCCCTTCGACGAGTTCGTGATCCGGTTGCGTTTGTGGTTGTGACGGTCCAGCTCCATCGTCGACACGTTGGGAAGGTCCAGCTTCATCGTCATTTCTGCGTCGTCCTCGACTTTGTCGCTGTTGTCGTGTATATACGAATGGCGTTACCTCCCGTCCATCATGACGATCTTCGTGAGTTCGGTGTGTAAGGCTTTGAAGCCTCTGCATTATAGCCTGATATATTGATACATGTTCATGTGTTTCGGGATTTCTACCTGCGATAGATAGTTCAAAAACAAAACTTCATATTAAATTTGATATAACAGAATGTAAATTTGAGATTTAATTTTATCGTACCTGCTCGAGCCAATTCCAAACCACGATTTGCAAGAGTTTGAACTTCATCTATTGCTGATACCTGCAAATTTTTCAACACATAAAGTACCAATAAAAATGGACTTAAATCAAAATATGAAAATACTTACTAATTCTCTCTCATCTATACCCCGGGGCACATATCCTCTTTGCGACTCAACCGGTATTGTGGTCGAATGAAGTATCCATCTTCGAGTTATGCCCCAATACCAAGTGTAGTAATCTGATTCCCGAGGAGTTGGTTCAATTTGGTTGACAATACAAAAATGCCTATCATTCCATTTGTGTATAAAAGCTTGATGCACGATCATCCAGTTTATTTGTTGGCCTCCTTTCTTTGCCTTCCTCTCTATCTTTTCAACAAACTGCGGAACATGTTGTGCAAGACCATATTGTCGAAGCACGCGGTCCGGTACATGCATTTCTACTATCTCCAAACATATAAGAGGAACTCTAGCTCTCCATACAACTTGGTATTCTGTGCATATTGGGGGTAGCTGAGGTAGAAATTGGGTGTAGGGCTCCCATTCCATCTACAATAATTTATTGCAGTTGCATATCAGAATTGGGTTTTCAGTATGTAGAAGAAAAAACGCATGTTTTTCGGTGAGAATTACCTGAAAAATCTTCATACGGTCAAGCTCATTCCGGTAGAAATCCAATTGTCTAGCCGGGGTCTCGTCATAGCATTTTTCGACATTCCATCTACAAAAAAATATTTATCATACATTTAGTACCACAATGATAACTACAATTATATTCGCTACACTAAAAATACAATACCTGCATCCCAGTGGAATTTGTCCATCTAATTGTAAATGCGTGCATAGTCTTGGCTTCAAATGAAGTCTCTCCCATGCCCATACTTGCAATAAGCTTAGACACCCTTTAAGCTCACTGTTTTGCATAAGTGCCACTTTTGACATCTCTCTATATAAATACGCCAAAACAGCACTACCCCACGATTTTGTACCACATACGTCCAAGTCCTCGAGGAGTGGTAACCACCTAGCATATTCACAATATTCCAATTTATTAAAATAAGCTAATTCAATGAAATACAGATTCATATTATAAATACACATACCTCGCATGCACTTTATCTTTACTTGAATCTGGAAATAATATAGTACCAATCATGTGCATAATGTATGCACGTGCATGTTGGTCAACCAAAATTTGTGGGGCATCAACAGGCAACGGTACTGAGAAGGTCTCTCTCAACCACTTCAACTTAATAGTTCCTCTAGGCATAGTCTCTGGAGCTACACCTAACAACTCCTCACATCTTCGAGGCCATACATCACTATCAGTGCCGGTAATGCACGGACCATCTATACGGAGACCGAGTATCACGGATACATCTTGTAGAGTAATGGTAGCCTCACCCATTCGGAAGTGGAAAGTATTGGTCTCAGGTCTCCATCTATCCATCAACGCAATCAGTAGGGGCCAATCGAGCTTTATCCAACGAAGCTTTGAACAAGTCAAGAAGCCGGCCCGTCCCACAGCTGCTATGATACGCTCATCCTCTAACCGCCAACGGCTATGGCTGAGGCTATGATCAACCATAACGATACTCGGACCTCTCTGTATAGACAATGATAGTATAAGAATGCAATATTATGTAAATGCAAATATTACAATTATAAAGTAACTGAATTACCTCTGTACAGGATATAATATGTGAACGATGCTGAGCCTGGTCATATAAGACCTCATCACTAACCGGCCCAGGATCCATGGTGTACAAACCTGCACATATAATTATACACATGTTAATAATCAATCATATAGTAATTCAGTTTCTTTATTAAAGTATATAAAAATAAAAAAATGATATAAATTACCAATTAGTTGCTATCTATTGTGTCTAGATGGACAACGAGGTCGAGTATGTCCCGGTTGTTTGCAAAGACTACATTTTTTGTGCTTGACCACTCCTTCTCGCCCTTGATCCATGGTTCCCCTAATTCGCACAGATCGTGGTCGACCTGCTTGTCTCCGGTACTGAGGTGGAACTATATGTGGTCCATTATATTCAGGCCAATACCGACTATCATCAGGTGGATGAAAACTCTCACTATATGTCTTTTGATAGTGAGCTGTTGAATACCAAGGCGAGCAATACCGATTTCTGGGAATTCTAGCACCTCCCGGCTGATTAGAAGAAGCCGCAAGCACATGTGCACAGGGTATTTTTTGGAGTTGTGGTATGTTACATGTGCAAGTGCAATCAACATCAAATAGTTTAACGGTGTAGATACCGTCACAATCTTGTACCTGCCATTCGTTGTCGTTGAATACAGTAATTTGACATGATCTTGCTGCCTCAATTCTTCTATGCAAAATGGACTCATTTTTTGGTGTGTAACGTGTTGTCCAGTCTATGCCATCACCACGCCTTTTGTTGAAGTATGCGTTTAGTCTATAGAATGTTCTCGCAACCAAAGATTGTATTGGCATAGCTCGTGCTCCTTTAAGAACGCCGTTAAAGCTCTCGGAGCAATTAGTCGTCATCATGCAAAACCGCACACCCTCATCCTTACATAATGCCCACCGATGCTCGAATTGAGGCTTCAAGTTATTTTCAATCCAATTATGTGCATCTAATGACAAAGACTTGATTTTCTCCCTGCAATGTTCATACACTAATGTGTCGGTCGCACACCCGGCTTGCCACAAAAGATTTTGCAAATTAATCTCACCGTGTTTTTTCTTGAAATTATCTCTTATATGCCTTAAACAATATCGATGGTGATGTGGTGCACTAAAACCCTCATGTAACGCCCTTATAATTCCTTTCATCCTATCCGAAATAAAGGTAATTATTCTTGGCGCACGGACACTTGGAATCCACTTGTATATAAGTTCAAAAAACCACTTCCAACTAGACGTATCCTCCACCTCCACGACTGCAAATGCTAGAGGAAATAACCCGCCATTTGCATCTACACCGGTCGCTACAAGAAGCACGCCTTTGTACTTTCCATATAAATGTGTACCATCAATGCTCAATAGACCGAAAGAAAGAACGAAAGAAAAGACGGAAGAGGGGGTGGGGTAGGCGGACTGCACGGGACTACTAGTCCCCTTTGACCGAAAGAAAGAACGAAAGAAAAGACGGAAGAGGGGGTGGGGTAGGCGGACTGCACGGGACTACTAGTCCCGTGCAGTTTCGTAACTGCAAAATCGACCATTTTAGGTCGGTTTTGCTAATATTTTTCACTTTAGGTCGATTTTGCCTATTAAATTCTAAAAAAGGTTGGTTTTAAAAATTTCTCCTAAAATCAATTTATCTCGAAACTAGAATAAGATCAATCCTTTTCAATTAACATGACTGATTTTGACAAACTCTTCAAAACATGACTGATTTTGACCCTCATTCGAGGTAAAATATTGGCTCTATTTTGATCCACCATAAATCACAAATAGTACCAGCTGCGATAAAATATTGTCGTAGCGTCTTTTTGACCAAGTAAAGCTGCTCATCGGCA